TGTTATCACCAAGACTTATTTATTCCATGATTATTTTTGTGCAAATTTCTGAAAGGGCAAATGGAATACCTCCTGTAAGGTTTCTGGAGCCTGTTGCCTTATTGCCTTTTCAAAAGAGTTGCGAGCGAGACTGATTTGGAGACAAGGGTGGGGGCGGGGTGGGCAGAGGAGGCACCCAGCTGTGCGCCCAAGGGTCTAACCCTGTGCCCTGTGCCCGCAGAACCACCGGGACTCGAGGCTGACCACCTTTGAGCAAGAGAACTTCCTGGGCAGGAAAGGAGAGCTGAGTGAGGACTATCCCTCCCTCCAGGCCCTGGGATGGGATGGAAAAGAAGTGGGCTCCTTCCACGTCCAGTCGGGGGCGTAAGTGCATCCCAAGCTCTGCCTGGCAGGGACAGCGAGGGGGTTGGGAGGGTTAGAGACACCTCCTGGGGAAACCATGGATCTCTGGTCTTTGCCCCCACCCCGGGGCCTCTCTAGGGTAACAATCTGCCCTTTCCCCTCCTCAGCTGGGTCTGTAGCCAGTTCCCCGGCTACTGGGGTTTTCAGTACGTGCTGGAGTGTGACCACCACTCAGGCGACTACAAGCGTCTCTGAGAGTGGGGCCCTCATGCCCAGACCCCCCAGGTGCAGAGTGTCTGCAGGATCCAGCGGTGAGCAGCCCGCACCCCTCCCTCCCCCTGCGCTGAGCTGGGGGACGCACGCTTGTCTGGACTAGAGGAGCCTGGAAGCTGTCACCTGCCCTTTTCTCCGCCCCCACCCCCTGTGACCCCGAGTGAACCCAGCCCCCATGTGAACCAGTCCATGCACGCATAGCCAGCACGAAAAACTAAAATAAAAAAGTAATCCAAAGGGTCCGGTGTTAGCTCGTGCTCTTCAATTTTATGAATCCTTTGAAAGCCCCGATTTTTAGCTTTGTTAATTGCCTCTGTCATCTGTCTGGGTTTTCGTTCACTGAGTTTTGCTCTTTAGTATTTTTTTTGTCCTTCTATCGACTCCGGGCTTACTTTATTTTTTGTTTTTACTAGATTTAAAAAAAATTATTGATTCATTTTTAGAGTGAGAGGAAGAGAGAGAGAGAAAGAGAAACATCGATGTGAGAGAGCAATCTTGATCCGCTGCCTTCTGCATGCCCCCTACCGGGGATCGAGCCACAATACCAGGAATGTAGTTGGCAACCTTTCAGGGCACGGGCTGATGCCCAACCAACTGAACCACACCGGCCAGGCTATAGATGACCTCTAACGTCATAAGCCATCTGGCTCCTTTTCCGCACTGCCTTCCTCTACCACAGTGAGTCTGGTAGAGACAGGAAGGGTGGGGTTCAGAACCTGCTAGAAACGATAACCTTATCTGGCTCAGGAAAGGGAGGGATGTGTTTAGGAACATTTGCACTTGATTGTCAACTCCTCATTGGATCATCCCATTCATTCAAGCGATCCTATCTGCCCAGGACCCGCTGAGCACCAAGCCCTGGGAAGTGGTGAGCAAGACGCATAAAGTCCCTTCCCCGACCCAGTCAGATGGGGAAGGCAGATGTGTCTGTGGTGGGTGGCAACACGGAGCTGTGGTGGAGGGAGTGTGGGGGCTGTGGGGCTGAGAGAGGTAAGAATGGGCCAGTGTGGCTCAGTGGTTGAGCATTGACCGAGAGGCAGGGAGGCCGATTCTCCCTGGTGTTTTTCTCACTATGGGTTGAATAAGGTGTTGGAAGAGCATTAAAGAGATAATGGGGAAAATGCTGGGTTCATGCTCTCCTTTTAAAGAATTAAGAAAGTAGCCCCTTACACTTTAGTCTGAATAAAGGAGGAGCACCTCACCTATCATAGGAAAGCTTTGGATCCCTGGGAACAAAGCAGGCAATATTTTCTGAATGAATGAATGAATGAACGAATGAATGAATGAGGGAGCCTCATTGAAATTGGATGGCGGCCTTATTAAGGGCCAGCTGCAGTCAGAGCCGACAGTGAGGCTGGCAGCCATAAAAAATGGGACCCCAGATGTGTGCTGATGGCTGGAGTGACAGGCAATAAAAAGATGATTTGTCAGGGGCGATTTCGGGAGGGGAGGAAAGAGAGCGTGAAATTATTTTTTATATCTTGCCAGGAGACCAATTTTCCCGGGTTATAAAGGAAAGGGAACTTGAATTATTGATGGGATTTGTCCAGAAGTAAGTGGTAAGCACGGAACACCCATCATCCAGAACACTGCCCTCAGCCAACAGGACCGATCACAGGGGCCGGGCTGTCAACCCCGAACCAGCGTCCCCTTGGCCCAGAGGGGGCAAGGCACTTGCTCAAGGCCACACAGCAAACATGATCCATGCTGCGGCTGCTTCCAGCCTTGTCGCCCAGGTACTCACTCACTCGTGGCACGGACGGCGATGACCATTTGGAGTCGCACACTCACCTGGGTCTGAATCCAGGATCCATCCTGAACTTTCTGGATAGGATGACCTTCAGGGGCCTCTTGGCCTCAGTTTCCTTGTTTCTTCAAGGAGGGGCCGTTGTGAGGGTCAAGGACCACAAAGGTGCTGTGAAAAATAAGAAGCGACATCATGTGCGGCTTCTCTGTCTTCTCCTCCATTCTCTCCCTCTCCGGCCCCCTCCACCGTCTGTCCAGCGCTCTCTCTCTCTCTCTCTCTGCCACATGCTCCTCTCCCCAGGAGCGAAGAAGCTGTGACAATGATGGTGGTGGACATGGTGGAATAAAAGGAGGTGAGAAGTTAAAGATCTCACAGCATCTTGGGTGTGTTTATGAGTGGGAGGGAGGGGGGAGAGAGAGAGAGAAAGAGAGAGAGAGAATAGCTCTTCCTGCGCCCCTTCGAGAAGTGGCTGAATGGAACAGCTATTATTACTCACAAGGACCAAAGCACTGGTGATTACTGTAATCACAGTCCATCGCCACAGCCCTTTGTAGAAAAGAGAAAGAGACAGCGTCCACTGAGTGTCTAGTTTGCACTGGGACCAGGGCCAGGCGCTCACACGTCCATTATGCCTGAGCCTTCGCCGCCAGGGGCAAGGCCCGCGTCCCCCTCACAGCAGAATGAGCAAGGGAGGCCCCAACCTGGCCTCGGGGAGAGAGGGGGTGAGTCTTGCACAAGCCTGAACTGTGGGTGGTGAATCCCCACCCACCTATCCCTGCTTCCTGGGGCCTCTGTGTACAGTTGCCATAATGACAAGATTAATGGAGGGGAAATATCTCCCAGGTGGGGAGGCCCTTGCTTCCTTCCTGCCTTCCTTCCCTGCCAGGTGCTCCTGAATCTACTCTTGAAGCAACCCGTCAGGGAGGCAGGCCTGGGGGCTGTGGGGGTTTCCTCCCAGGCGGGCAGTCTGTCGCTTTTAGGGATCTTCAGCAGCTTCTGGGAGGAGCCCCAGTTTTTAGTTTAAAGAATCACCCGCCCCTCTCCTAGAATCAATGCATCCGAAGGGGTTGACCGGCCCTGATTCCTTCCGGAGGCAAAGACATGACCCAAGTCTGGCCAATCATAGTCACCTGGGCTGGGCACATGACCCGATTTAAGCCAACGAGAGTCAGCTCTGGCATTTTGGTTGGAACCACCTGGAAAGAGAAGCTCTCCACGTGCTGGGCTTGCGAAGTGAGACAGGGTGTAAGCTTGGGACGTGCGAGAGGCGGCCTGGAAACAGAACCAATGAGGGGAAGGCCGGGGCCTGAAACCGAGAAGGCCGCTAACCCTCCCCACACGTGGACACCCACGTGCTTTCTTATCACATGGGCCAAAGCATCCTCTCCCGCTTCCTTTTGGCTTAAGACTTCTCAAGATGGGCTGCTGTTCTTTTATATTTTAAAAGGTCCTCCTACTCCCCTTAAACCCACTGAGGAAACAAAGAGCTTATCAGTTCCCCGCCTGCCCCCAGCTAGGGGCCCCGGGGGCCTTTCCTTCCAGAAGGATGGGCCTCCCCCCCCTTACCCCCCACTCACTCTCAGTCCAAAGTCAGCCAGTTTTATATTCAACCCCATGTCCACTAGGATGTTTTCGAGTTTTATGTCCCGGTTGCCGGCTCTTGGTGTTAGTGGCCCAGATTATTCTCCAGCCCTGTCTCCGTTTCCTCTTTGCTCCAACAGGCATATTCATCCCCTTGCTCAGATGAGAAGACTGAGGCCGAGAATGGCAAGTTGATCTGCTCACGTTGGCACAGAGAACCCGGGGCTCCCGAATCCCTCTCCAGGGTTCCTCCTTCTAGCCCCTGTGGGCGACCCTGCCGGGCAGGAGGCTGATGGCTTTGCTGAGGTTCAGTCAAAACCTTGTTACCAGCTCCCGGAGGTCTCTCAGGCCCATCCTGGCCCCGCCCACCGCCAGGCCGCTCAGGTGCATGGGTTGTCTCCGGTTCTAAGAAGCTGCCTCGTGAGATTTGTGCTGCACCGCCACCTGGTGGTGACACAGAAATACACCCTGCTGTCAGAAAATGATTAAGTTCTGGGAACCCCCCAAAGGGAAAGATGAAGATGGGATCCCCCTAGCTGGTTTGGCTCAGTGGAGAGAGCATCAGCCTACGGACTGAAGGGTCCAGGGTTTGATTTCTGCTGAAGGGCACATGCCTGGTTGCGGGTTCGATCCCCAGTAGGGGGCGTGCAGGGAGCAGCCGATCAATGATTCTCTCTCATCATTGATGTTTCTATCTCTCTTCCTCTCCCTTCCTCTCTGAAATCAATAAAAATTTTTTTTTTTTAAAAAAAGAATGCATCAGTGGGCCAGTTTCTGGGAAATTAGAGATATGAGATGTGATGAGAGGGCCTGAGATTCCTTCTGTGTTCTTAATTCTTTCCACAACGGTGTCCCTGTACATCTAGTTTCCTTTCTTCTTGCCGACTTTGGAAACTTAGGAAACTAACTGCCTTCTCTTTTTTCATTGGCCGCCAGGATGCTCAGAGCCAATGTCCACAGGATTATTAGCAACTGGATAGAACCGTGTGGCAGGCACTTGGAACGCCATTCCTGACTCCATACTCCTTCCTCTGGCCCGAACTTTCTATCTTATTTGATATTTAGATGCTGAGGGCATCTTCATAAACCATATTAAACCCCCTCCTTTAGGAAAAAGAGAAAAAAGAAGAAGAAAATATCCTCTTTTTCGTGGGAACAGGAAGGACAAATCAGGGTTATCCCTTCAGAAAGACCTTGCCAACATTCTGCAAGCCTCAGTTTCCTCTCCTGTAAAATGGGCACACAACCCTGCCTTGCAGGGTTTTGTGTGGGTTTCAGGAGATGCTCAGTTAATATAAGTTCCCACCCTATTTCCCATCTCTCCACCCCCCAGGGCTCTTGGCTGCGTGCCCCAGGCAGACTGTAAGGCAAAGGGCATCCAAAGAACAGACACGTTATCCTCTGTAGGCCCACTGGCTGCCACTGCTGGAGCCTGGTGTCCTGAGCCCAGCCCCTGCCTGCCTCCCGGGAGGACTGCTGGCCCTCACAACCCTCCACCTCCTGACTGCAGGCGCCACTGAGTCCCAGCTGAGTTGCAGGGAGCCTAGATGCATCTCATAAATAAAGAAGTGCTGTTCTGCAGGGTGGCTGCGGCGTGGCCATGGCCGTGTGGGGGTGGGATGGCTGCATTCGATGAAGCTGCGGGAGGTAGGGAGGACTGCACAGGGGCTCAGGCAGGGGATGATGTAATGGGGCCAGGGTGGGGTGGGGGCTGCAGGAGGCCAGGGCCTGGATACAGACTGTGGGGGCTGAATCTTGATTCAGGCACCTTCTAGCTGTGTCCCGTTAGCCTCAGTTTCCTCATCTGTCAAATGGGGATGATATCAATACCTGGCACCATGGGGCTGTCATAGCTACCGGGTGGACCGGCTAATAATGCGGATTTTTTCAATAGATGGAGTCACACATATGTTGATATAGATGCGATTGGATAAGTATGCGATTCTGTTGTATTGCTCCTTCAGATGACCACTTGTTCCGATCGATGGCACACGCACTTTCTAAGCAGCACTTCAAAACGTACGAAGAAGTGGAAAATCGGGTCTCTGAATGGTCTGCCTCAAAACAAGAAAAGTTCTATTGGGACGGTCTCCACAAATTACCCGAAAGATGGGGGAAATGCGTGGCTAGCGATGGGCATTACTGTGAATAAAGCACTTTGGATGTTTCTCTTGAAATTATCGTGTTTTCTTTGATTACAAAATCCGCATTTTTAACCGGTTAATAGCTAATCCGCATTTTTAACCAGTATGCGAATTTTTAACCAGTTATACGTAGCTGTTAACCGGTTAAAAATGCGGATTAGCTATTAACCTGTTAAAAATGCAGATTTTGTAATCAAAGAAAACACAATAACTTCAAGAGAAACATCGAAAGTGCTTTATTCACAGTAACGTCCGTCGCTAGCCAGGCAGCCAGGGTGGGCCTTGCAGGTAAAGCCAAGAGCTTGCTTCTCACCGGAGACCAGGGGGCCGTCAATGAAGGGCTGTGGGCAGGGGAGGGCGAGGCGAGCTCTGCCTTTGGAGCTTCGTCTGGCCTGGGTGGGGACCGGATTGGAAGGCCTGGAGTGGAAGCGGAGGTCCCAGTAGGGGGTGATGGAGACAGAAGTTACGGGGGCAATTGGTGGGGTACGGATGGCTTGGAGACAGGTTCAAGAGGGCACATTCATGGGCTGGGGTGAGGGAGAGAGAGGGGAGGATGACCCATCAGGGGTGTGTGCATCTTTGTAGAGTCCGCTCAGGGCTTCTGTCCCCACCCTAAGTCCTCCCCCTCCCCCCTCTGCCAGCATCTGAAATCTGAATTCACGGGAGAGATGAGGGGGGAGGCCCGGGAGGGGAAGACGCTGCCTCTGTGCTGGCGGCTGCAGCCTGTGCTTCCTGCCTTTCTCTGCGCAGCAGCAGGGAGAGGTTGGGCAGCTGCACCTGCCGGGGCGGCTGGAGGCCGGGCAGCAGGTGCAAGGCGTCTGGAGCGGGCGGCGTGCAGATGGACAGATGGAGGACGGGACGGGGTGGATGAGAGCGGCACACGCTCTGTCCCCTTCGCTGTTGTCTGGACACAAAAGCCGAGACAAAGCACACACACGCTGGAGACAAAGGAGTGGGCAGAGGCAGGCCGGCTCCCGGGCCTCCAGCGAGGCCTGCTTGTCTCTCAGCCGTGATCTGGGCACCGTAAAAGGAGAGGTTGGGGGGCACCGGTGGGCCCCAAACCTTGCCAGTCCCACTGGACTTTTGCTTAAAGGAAAACAGATCATGGACTGCACAAAGTTGAGGGTATTGCTTCTAGATCCTGGGGATGGAGACAAGGTCTGATGATAAAGAGAGTGACCGTACCTGGGTTGCAGGTTTGATCCCTGGCTCCGGTCTGGGCCTGTGGGGGAGACAACTGATCAAGGTGTCTCTCTCACATGGCTGTTCTCTCTCTCTCCCTCTTCCCTTCCTTCCACCCTTTCTAAAGAAATCAATGGAAAAATATCCTTGGGTGAGGATTAACAACAACAAAAAAGGAGTAGGTGTGTAAGTACCCTGGCGTCCTTGACCTCACAACTCAGGCGTGTCCCACACGGGGCCGCAGCAGGACTGAGCCCTGGTTGCACACCTGACACGCTCATTGCTGTGGACTGAACTGTGTCCCTCTGAAATTCACATGTCGAAGCCCACACTCCCCACCGCGACTGGACTTGGCGATAGGGGTCGTTAAGATTCAATGGGGTCAGAGGGTGGGCCCTTCCCCAGCAGAATTGGGGCCCTTACGAGAAGGGGAAGAGACCCCAGGGGTGTGCAGATAGAGGGGCCATGTGAGGACAGTGAGAAGGTGGCTGTCTGCAAGACCAGGAGAGAGGCCTCAGGAAAAACCAACCCTACTGGCACCTTGACCTTGGACTTCCAGCCGCCAGAACTGTGAAAAATAAGTTCCTGTTAGGCCACCCAGTCTGACCAATACACTCATTAAGGCACCTGCTCTGGTTTCTTCTCTCTTCCCCGTCTCACCGCTCTCCTCCGTCACCAATGCTTCCTGGGATCACGTCCCAAATGAACCACGTGCACTTGGATCCTTGTCTCGGGCTCTGCATCTGGGATGACCGAGGCCAGTATTCCTGCCCATGCCTTACCTAGCGGGACTGCTGGCCTTCACACATGAAGACAGTCTCTGGGGGCAGGACAGCGATAGGACTCTGGTGAACACTGAACTACGCTCATCCATGGCCATGATCTTGAACCAGTGATATCCCTCCTGGACTGAGGGCGATTGCAGACACCAGAGTGACCCCCACAAGGCGGCAGGGTCATTGTCCAGCAGCGGTGGGGCTGTGCATCCCTCCCAGGGGAAGGGCGGGGGAGCGTGAATGCAGACAGGTTTTCAGACCTCCCGAGAGAGCGCAGCTTCTGGAAGCAGCCAGAGCTTCCCGGCGTTCTAGCTGGCTGAGCTTGGGTAAGTCACTTTCCTTATCTGTCAGCTAGAGGGGCTACCAGCACTTCCCCAAGGGTGTCTGTGGGCACTTTGAGTGTGAAGTAAGGGTCAAGGAGTCAAGTTCATTACATCTGAAGGTGGTTACAGGGGAATTTTGTAGTTACTGGAAATTGTTGAAATGCATTTTTTTTGGGGGGGGGGAGGTGGGGGGGTGCCGGGAGCCACACAAAATGCTGATCTCCTTGGTTGTAGAGACACCTACCCCTGGAAACCTTGGGGTGCTGAGTGGTGTCATGAGCCAAAGACGGTTTGCTTGTGGATCCTTGAAGCTGTGGTGTCTCATGGGAACAGGTGAGGTCACCACCCGGTCCAGCTGAAAGAGGCAAACTTTATTCCGAAGTGGATCTTCAGGCTGATGGTGCCTCCTCCCGTTGGCATGGCAACCAACACTCCAGCCGCCCTGGGGTTGTGGGCTCGATCCCCAGTGTGGGGCATGCTGGAGGCAGCCGATCAATGATTCTCTCTCATCATTGATGATGTTTCTGTCTCTTTCTCCCTCTCCTTTCCTCTTTGAAAGAAAGAAAGAAAGAAAGGAAGGAAGGAAGGAAGGAAGAAAGATAGATTCTATGGAAGTTAGGCCAGGCGATGTGGTGGCAAGAACATGGGCATGAAGACTCAGACGACGGTTCAAATCTTGACTCCACCATAAACACTTGGCCATCTAGCGGGGTTAACTGAGAGGCATACACCGAGCTGTGCGGGTTGCGCTGCTGGCAGGACTAGTCCTCATACACAAGGGCCCAGGGTTCTGCTCCCGAGGCTCCAGGGTCGCACACCGCACGCGCGCCTCTCCATCCATCCCTGCGCG